CTATAAGTTGTACTTTATTTTAAACCTAAATTTTTATTGCAATTTAAGATGAATAATAAATTTAAATAATAAAAATCAAATAATTTTTGAAGCTGTGGCCTATCTAAAAGCTTCATTTTATTTTATTTTTAAAACATTTAAGCTATTACATGACCGAACAACTGACTATTAATATGCTATATTTATTATTTTAATTAAATTAAATAAATAAAAATAATGAAATTTAAAATTATAATTTTATGATGATGAAAATTATAATATTTTATTAAAAAATTATATATTTATTCTTCTATCATTATATTTTATTTTTTATATTTGAAAATTTGTATTGAAAAAAAAAATATTCAATATTTTTTACCCAATTCATTATAATCCGTTGAGTCCCGCCGTACATTTTAAATTTAACCGATCATGTAACCCATGCAGTGGAATTACATCTTTGGGCTTTGATTGCTCAAGCTTGTCTTTATTTTTTCTTGCTTGTTTTGTGTTATTGGTTTATAATATAATTTGTTTGGTATTAAAATAACTTTAATGATTGTAGTTTAAAAAAGACTAGGTTTTAAAAAACTATAAGTTGTAGTTTTTTTTAAACCTAAATTTTTACTGCAATTTAAGATGAATAATAAATTTAAACAATAAACATCAAATATTTTTTAAAGTTGAGGCAATCTAAAAGCCTCATTTTCAAAAATTTGAATAGTTTAAACTATTAAATGACTCATTAACCATTATGTTATGTTATTTTTTTTTATTTAATTAGGTAAAAAAATAATAAAATTCAAACTTATAATTACATGCTCATCAAGATTCTAATACTTTATTAAAAAATTATTTTAATGTAATTTTTTTTATTAAATAATGTTTTAGAAATAATTCTATATGGTTATTCATTAATTTTGAATACAATTAACATGAAAAAACCTTTTAGCTTCTTGAAAATACCTAATCTTATAAGTGCTTATTTGGTGATGGAATGCAAGATATTTTTGTAAAGATGCAATTTAATTGAAAATGTATTAAAATGTTAATTTTTTTTATATTTTTTATTTGACATCCACATATCAAAACCATTAAAAATCACCTAAAAATATTAATTTGATGTTTTTCCAAGTAATAAATAATTTAATAAATATTTTAAAAATTAGATAGAACTACAAAACAAACACACCTTAAGTTCATCCACGTAGAACATGTATGCAAATCAAAAGATATATCATTTGCGAGAAGATTAATTTTTTGGGATTCTGGTTAGCTTCTTTGAATTCTAATTGATAGGAGGGAGGATATTTTTATGAAAGAGAGAATAAAACATGAAAGAAACATCTCTCTTTCTATATATTCTATAGTTACTCAATAAAGAAAAAACTATGTGCTAAAATCATAGCCATTTATTTTAATTTAAAATAATATGAGAGGTCATGCTCCTTGGAACATATGTGAAGATTGACCAATATTTCAAATAACAATCATTCAACACTCAACAAGATATTAAAGCTTTAGTAATTAACAGCTAAACCTATCAAAACCGCACGAATTTGGGAAAGAAATTATTAATGATACATAATTTGCATCCAAAAGGACTCATCGGATCGACTCTCCTTGACGCTCTCTAGTCTCCACTTGTGTTCTTTCCACTTCCCTGAATGCATCATCAATATGATCCTGAAATTTATATATAAAAGAAAAAAAATTGATCAATGTAATTTCAACGATAGATTGCACAAGATCTGAAAGAAGAAATTATCAAAATGTTTATAAAAAGCTAAAAAAATTATCTTCTTTTTTTACCCTCAAAAAACACACCGTTTTGATGGACGCCATGAAGCATGCATCACTTAGGAGGTTTGCATTGCCCTGGTCCAGACAGGTAGCTGCAAGGATTAGGGCCTGATGGTTGAATTGGACGGTAGCTTTGTGGAAAATACATGCTGCTTGCTCCAAACTTTGGCTTCTTGGTCATGAGGCTAGAAGGCCTAGTTGCAATCACCAGAGAAGCACTGGCAGCCAGGATCAGCAACACAAGTATGGTGGCTTTTGCCCCCAGAAAGAGAGGTTTCTTGCACATACTTATCATGGTTTGATTAATTTTCAGAGAAGGATATGAGATATACTGAGATCGGAGACAAGTTTAGTGAACCGAGAGCAATGGCTTATAAAGAGATTCACGAATACAATGGTAGTCCTTAAATCTTATCATCGAAAACATGATCGTTTAGGGAATAAAAAAAGTTCAGAATATTCTTCTAAGTTTGCTTTGACAGAGTGATAAATGAGAAGAATTGTTGTTCTTCGCAACAAGGCAGCAATTATTGACCTGTTGCAACTTGCAAGCCATTAACACCTGAGAATCTTGTAAACTGACGTGGTCAGTAGATTTAGTTTCGAATCTGATAGACAAAGCAAAATTCAAAAAATTAGTTGGTCATGTCGAAGTGTTTTTCAAAGATGGATATGGAATAAACTGAGAGAGTGCCGACAAAGTTTGGTAAACTGGTAGCTGTGGTTTATAAAGATATTCATGACAGCAAAAAATCTAATATCGAAAACCTAAACTTTTAAAAAAGAAAACAAACGTCAGATTTTTTCAGAAAGGTATAATACAAAACCTTTTGCCTCGGTTTGCTTAGATGGTGACAGATAGAACAATTGTTGATCCCGGAGACGACCATCTTCTCCGGTACGGTTTTTATTCTAGTTTTATTATATATGAACATATAAATTCATAATAAAATTTTGATTTTTAAATTAAAATAATTAATTTTTAAATATTTGAATTTCATATTAATTTATTTTTTTATATTTTTGTTTAATATATTTTAAAAAAAATTAAAATATTATTGACGAGGTTACCGATAAATTTATTCCATCAATATATTCTAAAGACTTAAAAAAATTACAATAAATATTAATGCTACTATAAATTCAATGACGAAATCAGTTCATCAATATATTTTAGAAAATTAAAAAAGAATTATTGTAAATACCACTGCATTTTAGAGAGTTTAGCACTAGTAAACTTTTTTGCGTGAACAATTTATGCACGCCTATGGGTAAAAGCCGGCTCGGTCACTGACTAGGCTAGGTTGACTAGGTTCAGCCCAAACTGTATGAGATAAATTAAGCCCGGCTCAAAAAGCAAAACAAACATCTGACTTAATTTGTTTTAGGTTAATGATGTATTTGGTAAAACACATCTTTATGTCAATTTTTTTTATTTTATTCTTATTTGTTTTGATATTTAGCCAAATAAGCCACTCTATGATATCATAAAATTTCAAAACATTTGTGGATTTTTTGAATTTATTTGTGGATTCCTCGTTTTTTCCCCTATTACTATACATTTGATTTGTAAATTTTTACTATACTATACAAAACTTTTTTTAATAAAAAAATGTGTATATTTTGTTTTCAAATTAAATTTTACTAGTTTATTCATTAGCGTCAAATTCAGAAATATTACAATTAGACCATCAATAGTATAAACAATAAACCCTTAATAATTTAAGATAAAACCAACAATACAGTTTATCTCAGGTAGAATATTTAAGGAGTGATAATATTTTTTTTTATATATAATTAATCTCATATTATAGAATCTCTATTGACCAGTTAGGGTTTCTAGTAAGTATAATATTAGATAGCGATTCCTTAAATAAAAGTTTTTCTTTAAAAAATAAGATGTTTAGAATCTTTGTTTTTTTGTAATTTAAAAATTTAAAAATTATTGTGATATCGGGTGCAATAAAAAAATATAAATATAAATATGTTTTTATAATAATTTTAAAGTGAATTTATAAAAAGAATAAAAATAAACGTCCCTTTTATCACTCTCCCGCAATTGTTTGTTTCGAAACCATAATAAAACACTACAATTTAAAAAGAAAAAGAAAAGAAATGAATAAACATCCCCAATTGCAATTGGAATATGCGAGAGTTTCCTAATCGTTCTCTCAAGTGATCATGTGTGAGGCAAAGCCTATTAACTTCTCCATTCTAATTCGAAATTCAGAGCTATGATGGCTGGTTGGCTCCAGAAGCTGGGGAAGTTCATTTAACCATCAGTTCATCAGTGCTGTGTGATTATATCATACGAAATTGTGCACTGGGGAATTTAGCAAGAAAGATTCAATCAAGGCATCCTTGAAGGGGGCGGCCCAACGAAAAACGTTTTTTTGTTTGGAAGGGTTTCAAAATGGTCTTCTAGTGGAGACAGATAATGGATCATGTAAGCGATGCAACGAAAAAGAAGATTATTGGTTGTAAAATGTTTTGTTTAATTTTAATTTTCATGATTTGAGTTTTTGATTTATTAATTGGTTGTAATAATGCTTGATTAATTATTCTGAACTCTCAAAATTAAGAAGATAAGATTAATTTGACAGAAGTGGTCTGAACAAATTAATTAAGAGGATTAAAGCTTTTAAATACCTAAAATCTGTACGATCTCTCCTTAGAAAATAGACAATATTTTAACTTAATTGTCATTATTCATGCATGAATATATAAAATCAAGAACTTTTATTAAAGTGATTAAGAGAAGAAAAGATGACAAAAATAACTTCCGTGATTGTTAAAAAATAATATAAATTATATTTTAAAATCTCCCCTATCAGTTTAAATTTTTGTATTAAATTGATTCTTTAATATGGTATCAGAATCTTGATGACCAAGCGTTTGAATCTCATCATCTCTATTTATTTGATAAAAATTAAATATAATGTAATATGAATCTATGTAAATTTTAAATTTAAAGGGCTTTTATTTGAATATAATGTAATATGGATCTGTTTAAGTTTCAAATTTAAAGGATTTTTATTTGATGTGATATGTTAGAGAATAATATAAATTATATTTTAAAAACTCACCTTCCAACTTGAACTTTTAAGTTGAATGGGTTCTTTGACAATGATTAATTTGTCCGTAGTTGTAATTTTTTTTTGAATTAATATGATTTCTTAATAAAAGAAAATAATTAATATGGTAACACTCAACAGGAGGTTCAATTTCAACCATTTCTTGACAGCTAAAACATAGCAAAATAACAGGATATAATTTGAGAAAAATTATCAAAGGTATACTGCATAATATGCATACAAATGGTCAGTCTAGTCTCCTTGAAACATTCTCTAGTCTCCACTTGTGTTCTCTCCACCTCCATCATCAATATGATCCTGGAATTTATACATAAAAAGAAAACATGGTCAGTCTAAATCCATCGACAAATCACTAGGAGAAAATTATATAAAAAAATTGAAATAAAAAACTCTATTTATTTTTAAAACGCACCATGTATTTATATAACTAGCTAGATGCTTGATGGACAGTATGTAGCATGAATCACTTAGGAGGTTTGCATTGCCCATCTCCAGGCTGGAAACTGCAAGGATAAGGACTAGGACTAAATGTTTGAATTGGAAGGTTACTAATTTGGGTAACATCCGTGCTGCTTGCTTCAATTTCTGTCATCATGGTCATCATGAAACTAGAAGTCCTAGTTGCAACTACAAGAGTAGCACTTGCAGCAAGGATCAGGAACAAAAGGATGGTGGCTTTTGCCCTAAGAAAGAGTGATTTCTTGCACATATTCATCATGGTTTTGATTCTAAGAGAACGATGTGATGTCGATTCAGAGTTATGGCAGGTTTGATAAATTGAGAGCAGCTGTAGTGGTTTATATAGAAATTCATGGTAGCAATATAATAGAAACAGATATCTGAAAGAATTTAATGTTGATGTCGACCCAGAGCTAGAATATGAACAACCTTATCACGTTTAGAAGAGAAAAACAACTGTCAAAGATTCTCTTTATGGGAAAAGGTACAGAACTTTTTGTTCGGATTTGCTTCGATGGCAGATAGATAAATGATAAGAATGTTCTTCTCGGTAATGCAACAATTGTTGACCAGCGGCTACTTGCAAGCCTCTAAAATTTGGAGAATCTTGCATATTACCGCATAGAACCATCGGTTTTATACGTCAGTAGTACTGTACTAGGTCGTCGGCAGGTTGGCTGGGGCGGGCTAGAGCTAGGAGGCACGTGGTTGCCGCGTATACGTCGAATTATGGATTGATGATTAAGTTATCTAGGTTTGTCCCATCTCAAAAAAGTCTGATGATGACACTGCCTGATCATGACATCTCAAGCCGCATAATTCTTTTTCTTATTGTTAATATAGTTTGTAATGAGAATAAAAGAAAGAAAGTCTATTTTGGAAAGAAACAATCCCCTTTATTATACTTGCAAACTAAAAGACCTGTGCCATACACACCAACAATGAAGCTTTTTTTTCTTTCTTTCTGAATTTTATCTTCAGAATATTTTATTAATTATTTAGATTGCTTTTGAATGAATTAAATCTACTGAATTATATTAAAACAAATCTTACATGTTTAATTTTGGATTAAGAACTTGGACTTCCTAAAAAAAATAAATTAAAAGGTTTTTTTTAGTGTTATTTCTTTCCTTAATTTTATTTTTATTTTTTGTTCGAATTTATTTTAGTCAAATTGAATAGATTATATTTAAATAAATTTTATATATTTAATTTTAAACACGCGTTAAATAAAGAGTCAAATCAAAAAATTTTAAGATAAATTAATTTTAATAATAAATTAGATAATTTTTTATTACTTAAATATTTTTATGTTTAATTTTTTTAATCCATTCAACAACACAGCAGCATGGCCTGTAAACTAGCAACATTTATAAAAATTACCTTTTAATAATATAATAAATAAATGAGTGCACTTAGTGGGCTACTTGATGGGCAATTCTAAGACATAATCTGCTTGCTAAAGCAACAAATAAGCACATAAAAATAGTGTTACTAAGCACATAAAAATAGTGTTACTCACACCTCAAAGCCATTTATTTTTCTTTATCTCCGCACAAATTAAAATTACTCCCAAACTCATCACTTGTACCAACCTTTTCAATATTTATGGGCCTATTTTGTTACAAGCACGCGTATTGCGAATTTTAAAGTTTGAAATATGAGAGATTATAAAGTATTTTCAATTTAGTGCCCCAGCAGTCATACAGAAGTGGTTTCTGTGGATAGTTATAATATATAGTTTGTTCTCCTTGTACGTTACTAATTAATTTTATGCAGGTGAAAGGAACAATACTGTATTAGGAGTTACCTCATAATTCTTCTTGAAGTTTACGGAAACAGAAGCATATGCTTTTCACTCCCATAAACTCTCAATCTTTATTATTATTCTTTAATATTCCTAAATGATCATGTTTTGTCACAAAATTAACTATCAATGATCGTATTTGTCATAAAATTAACAATCAACAAGGACTTTTTGTGCCGATAAGCTTATAGCTCAACTGATTGTAGAATCCCTCTTTAATTTCCTAAAGATATTTGTAATAATAATAAATAAATAAATAAACATGGGCTTTCTGTGCTAAATTATGAGAAGCCTAATCAAAATCTCTTCTAATAAAGTGAAGAGAGATTGAGTGTGAGGACACAAGCATTTTAACTGCATCCTGAAGTATGGAATGTGCTTCACTGTTGTCAAAAGCTTTCTGGGTAGCCGCTTCTATAAGTAATTTCGCATCATCTTCAATGAGAACTCTTCGATGAAAATTCTGAGCCATCTTGTGGCCCCACGACGTGCTAATGCCTCCACTACCTGTGCATCTAAAACATGCTGCAGGTATATGCTTTTGACATGCCAAACATCTTCATTGGAATCTCTTGCTATAAGACCCATCGCACAAGATTTGGAATCATGGCTAGGAGCCCCATCGAGAATAATTTTGACAGAAAATAAAGGAGGTGAATATTGCTAGTGACTAGTGAGAAGAAAACGATTTTGCATGAACCTGATTTGCTCGAAGATCTAAATTCAACATAACCCCAAGAAAAATCCCCGAGCCCGTTTTTAGGTAATTATTTTTCTTTTGGGAGGAAACCAATTTTTATTTTTTAACGTTAGTTATTTTTTCGTTAAAAAATTTATTTTCGTAGCCCAATTTTTAGGAAATTTTTTTTAGGGTATGGGGAAGCAAAGTTTTTTTTTTTTTTAGGAATATTTTTCTTTATATATACGTTTTATTTTAAAAGTATAAAAATTTACTTTAAAATTATATTAAAAATAAATTTATTTAAACACGTTTTTATCTCTGTAATATATCTTTCACTTATATCATACGACACTAATTAATTAAATGTGAAGTGTATTCATTTTTAATTTTCTACACGTCTCTATTAATCTCGATCACCAATGTTTCGTAAATCTCACCACCTATCTTCACTTAATTTATAGAATAGGTTATAGAGATACCACGTATAATCAGTCAAAGCTTTGTTTTTTTAACCCATTGATTGAGAATTGAGACCCGTTACTAGTTTAAATCTTTCCCATAAAAAGCTGATAATACATAAAAAAATATATATGGATGTGTGAGGGTGGTTTTGCTTATAAAAGGCAACACAAACAATTGAAAATTACATGGGTAATCGTTCAATTTCTGCTTTTAAAGTGAAGGACATGAATGTACATTTTCAACTAAATTTCTTTTAATAGATATTTTTTTCTAATTAATATTTTAAAACTTGATCTAAATTTATAGGTTGACTAGTACTCTAATTGATCCAAAACTTAAACAGGTCAAATTTCAATAAAAATAAAATGAGAATTAACTCAATGTTATTTTGTTAAAAACTCAAGTTAACCTATAATGCAGGAGAAATCTAGTAAAAAATTATTGATTTTTTATTGTTTTTTAAAATAAAATTATTGATTTTTTACTGTTTTTTAAAAAAATGTTATTTTTATTTATTTTTAAATAAAAAAATTAAATTGATATAGATTAACTCGAATACTCTACAAATTTTTCTAGGCTGACCCAGTATATCTGGTTTAAAACCAATGGTTCTAATATAAAAATACAAGGATCTTCCCTTCCTTTTATTTTTTATTTTCTGTACTTGTCTCCACAGCAGTCTAAATATAAGCACTTAGTAAGGATTGATTAGCCGAAGCAGAAGTAAGAAATTCAACAGAGATAGAAAAACAATCGCATAAGGTCAAAGTATATAAAGATAGAGCATAATGGTAAGATTATGAGCACCTTCGTCATGCTTTGGTCCCGCAACAAATCATCATCATCATCTGCAAAAACAACGAGGTATGTGTCCAATGTTTTCATGAATTTCTCAAATGTTTGATGCGAATTCTGATCGTGGAAAAACTTTTTATTGGCCCTTTTCAGATGGATTGGTGAGAAATGTAACGTTTTTGGAAGCAAAGAGAAGTGGTAAGCAAAGGTACTCTAGAGAGATATAACGATGCTTGATTTGGTCTTAGGGGTTTGCTATTACTATTGATTATATTTGTATAGATTTTTAATTATAAGTTTCATTCTTTTTCGTGAATTTTAGAGTTCTTTCAGTTTGGTTCAATTCGTATATCAAATCATATGTATTTAAAATAAACCGAAATTATACACGAAGTGCCGCCATATCTTCAAAGTGGGTAGTAATGTTTATCATAGATTTTCAGGTTGTGTTAGTACACCACTTGAAGTGCCAGTGAACCAAGCACATTGCACATTTAACAGAAGCCAAAGCAAGAAAACCATCATTTGTTCCTTAAGATTGTGATCTTAAACCAGCTCAAAAACCAGCAGTACGTAAGACTATACTTGGCAAACCTTGTAGTAGAAAAAACAGAAAGTACAGTATTCTCGTATCTTTACAGAATGAATTTGCTACAAACGATGAGAATGACGAAGTTTCGTCGAGTTTTAAAGACACTGTGATTCAACAGTTACATTCATTCTGTCAGTTTTCTCGTCCTCAAACTGTGATTGGCACCGTGAGTTACGTATTTTTACACTCTTTTGATATAAAACTTCCGTTTCTGATAACAAGTCAGTAAACATATACTAATCTTTCCCCCCCTGTTTTTTTCCTTTAATAGCTTATGGGATAACATCAGTTTCTCTTCTACCAGTAGAAACAATAGCTGAATTGTCTCCCACATTTTTTATGGGCTTGCTGAAGGTAAGTTTTCGAGAAAAAGACTAACGATTGCCTCTCGTGGGAATTTAGCTACAATACTAAAGAATTCTTTTGATAACTCAGGCATTGGTGCCATCAGTGTTGATGAGCATTTATGTGGTGGGATTGAATCAATTATTTGATGCTTAAATAGACAAGGTATGTATGCAAGTGACTTAAGTCATCAATTTGGATGATCTCTTATGAACATTTATAGGTTTTTTGATGTACTCTTGTTACAATTTTACGGTTTCGAGGCCAGTGCTATGTTAGTGGCTTCATTCTTTACTGCTTTAATGTTCTCAGGTAAACAAACCTTAACTCCCACTTGCTTCTGGCAATTTCTCAATGGGAACTAGTGTCGTAATCGTTTCGGCATGTTTATTGACCGTAAGTAGGATTTCTTGTTAGCAACAGAAAAGAATAATGGATTTGTAATTCATTGTGCTGATTGATTGTCCTCCAATGTTGATTGTAATGATTCATATATCAGAGTTTTGCAATGGGAATTATGTTTCAATCCCCACCGCATCTTGCTGCCCTTCTCACAAGTTTTGTGCTTGGGAGTGTGTATTCTATTGAAGTTCCTTGTGCAACATACATCACCAGTTCTCTCTGCTAATGAAACTGACCTGA